AGGATGCTGAGTAGCCCAGCTGCACTGGGGGAGCTCGGGAACCTCCTTCCCTGCTTCTGCAGGACCTGGGGACCCCACGGCGATTACTTAATGGGACCTGAATCTCCCGTCTGCTCAAGCTCTGTTCAGGGAGCAAGCAACCAACTGAGCTCTCTCTTTCAATTGTTCTAATTATGCTAAGAAATAGTTTGCAAATGAGATCAACAGCCCTTACCTGTAGGAACCAGATGGATTACATAGCCACCTCCCACGTAGATGGCCCAGTGCTGGTACAAATTGCGGGAAACCTCAATCAGGTCTCCAGGCTTGGGTTCTTCACAAAACTGCAACAGAAAAACCTGAGGTAGTGTAGACAGCCTTCCGGGCAACAGCAGGACCCCAGCTGGGGGGCTGCAGCTCAGCCTTGGGACCCCCTGATAGATGTTCATCACGTGGTGAGAGCTTGGGCAGGGGGAGGGCTCCTGGCCCCTGATGGGTCCCCAGCTTGCTGTCACGTTTAGAGGTTCCCCCACAATGGGGAGCTGGAAGCCTGGGGAAAATGACCTTGTGGAACGGGAGAGTGGAGATTTGTCCAGAGTGTTATGCATACGTGTGTGTGTGTGTGTGTGCATCATGCACGTGCCTGTGTGTGTTGGGTGTATGTGTGAGTGTTGTGTGTGTATCTGTAAGTATTTGTGTGTTGTGTGTTGTGTGTGTGCTGGGTGCACGCACACACACACTGAGGATGCAGTTGTGTGTGTTCAGGTGCCTTGTGCACGTGCTCCTGAGTGTGTTGACGTGAGAGCCCACCTGTAAATCCCCTTTGCCGAGGCTGGCAGCCCCAGACCCTTCCTCCAGCAAAGTCGGGCAGCTGAATTTGACCTTCTCTGCCCAAGACTGACTCTCAGGTCCTCTACACGCCTCCTGCCCTGGTTGTCCTGGGCCACACCAGGCATCCTTCCTCCCCAGACCCTGCTCCCTGCAGCTTGTGACGCCTGCCCTTGGAGAGACATGGACCAACTGACAGCATCCTAATGGGACCTGAGCCTTGGAAGGGGCTCTGCCGGGGCTACCCAGCTTCCTCGGGGTGGCGGCTGCCACACACACACAGGCCTCCGTTGGCACTTTTCCTACGGTAACAGCAATCCCCACCCCCAGCCCCACGGGGAAGGGAGCCTCACCCCAACGCTGAGCTGGGAAACTGAGAATCAGAGAGATGGAGGGACTCGCCCAAGAATGGGAGGTGGTGGAGCTGGAGCTCTGTGCTTCTCTCCAGACCCCGACACCGTCCCGCCTCCCTGACCTTCTGCACCTCCTTCCTGCCTCCCCAGAGCCCCCAGCTTTGCAACTGGAGAATTTTTTTTAATTTTCTGCCTCTCTGTGCCTGACTTCAGGGAATGATAAACCTCCTCCATCTCTCACCCCAGGACCATCCAATCTGAGAGCAGAGGCTGGCTGCCCTTCCCCTATTTCTCATGTCAGTATCCCACAACAAGCCTGCCCCTGAGCTGTCTCCTGAATTCACTGCCTCCTCCATCTCCCG